TCTACAGAACGCTTCCTAGAACGGGGGCAGAACTAAGAGCTCTATTTATATCCAGGGCACCCGGCCAGATGGTTTGAAGGAGTGCTTCCATTATTTCAGGAAGCTAATGTGGCATCTGGAAGCGGAGCGCTCCAAACGTGGAGCATTCCCAGAGCTGTCGCGGGCAATGCAGTGAAACAGCAGCGCTCCTATGAAAAAAAGAAATGTAAAGCGTGGATTTTTCTTTTAGCTCAATCATTGGGTGTGAAATTGAATTGAGAAGTCTCCAAAGTAGATTAAATCACCCCCTTGGCATTGCCACGGGAACAGTTGATTTCATCTTGAAGGCGCCTTTGGTTTCCAGATCAGTGGAGCTGAGCGGGAGGAACGTGCGTCACTTTGAGGTAAACAGGGATGTGAGGTGGTTAAAAACAGAAAAGGCAACGCAGCAAAATCCTGTGCCTGACATTTGTCAGCCACTTCTGAATCGCGACGGCTGCTTCCATGGAGCTGTGGGGCAGATATTATCGCTGTCCCTTTCGCTGTGCAGATGAGTTGGAAGTGCAGTGTGAATGGGTTTGGTTCAGCTGATTCGGAGAGGCAAGGCTGTCTTGTTCTGCTCCCCAGGAGCTGTGCAGTGCTGCTGTTCCTCGTCGGGCTGCCCAGGCACAGGAGGATGTTGTGCTCCTGCTGCCCCGGCCCCAGCGTGACGTGGAACTCTCCAGATTCTTCAGCCTGACGTTTCCTGCCTGGTTGTTTGTCAGCACCATCTTTGGGGAGATGACGAATTGCACGTGTTTATATCACACTGTGTAATGTCTGTTATGTTTTCTCAAAGTCCCTTTCTGGAACGAGACGCCGAATGTGTAAGCAGAAAGCCTGCTGTGTTAGCTGGGGCTGGGTGGGTGATCCCAGGAGGTCCTTTCCCACCCTACAGTTCTGCAAACCTCTTCACTAGTCCTTTTAGTATTAGAATGCTTCTGACATGCGATGAGGGAACCCTGAATGCAGCCTTCAGGATGTTCCAGTGCTACATAGGGGCCTCCAAAGCAGCACTCATCTAACACAGCAACACACACGTTAGGGCATGCACAGACTGGGGCTTCCTGCAGAGTGCTTTGCAGCTGGTGTGTGTTCTGGGTACAACTGGTTCACTGCAAAGAGCACAGCAGTAAGGTCACTCATTATGTGGAATACAAAACGTGTGTTCTTTCTTATCCCATAGCCAGACCTGAAGGCATTGAGAACCTCTGCAACATTAGTCGGATTGCAGTAGTGCAAACGAATCGGTCCTGATGTAACCAGAGAAGAAGATTTATTATTTGTTGGTTGTTTTATTTGTTTGTTTGCTCTGTTTCTAACCCCTCCCAAAGTGCAGCCTTGGCTGTTCTGGGGTTCACTTCATCTCTACTGCTTCACTGACCTCCACCCCTCCGCAGAAGGGCGAGCACAGAGCTGCAGGCTGCATGTAGGAGACTTGTGTGTGTGTGTTGGTGTGTCTGTGCGCTGATTGCTTGTGCGGTCTTGCAAGATTGGAGCGCTGAGTTTAAAATAAATAACACCGCTGGATTATGAGGAATCCATTTTGATAACAGCAGGAACTTTCCGCAAGGCCAGGCAGCAGTGCCCAGTCTGAGTGCTGCAGGTGGCAGTGCTCCGTCCTGTCGGGGAGGGAGGCAGGACGACCTCACACTTTTGCCTATAGCTTCCTCTGGTGGGAGGTGAGATGGAAAGCTGGCGTGTGGACACGTCTGCTTTAAGGTGATCTCTGCATGATTAATAACCCTTTTATTCTCTTGCCATTTATTTCTTAAAGCGATAAGGATGAGACCACGCTGACAAGGTGTACTTTTTTAGAACCAGAAAACACAATGGTTGATGAGGCTGCTGCTCACACTGGCTGCTTGCAGGAGCTCTTGCCATTTAATGCATTTTCACCCTTCACTTGAGTTGCATCAGACTGCTTCCCTGCCTTCTGTGACTCATGAAATAACTGTTAGAAGCTCCTGAAGTGAAGTGAATTCTTGGCAGTTTTGTTTGAACAAGTTTTTAGAAATGAGCCCCTTCTTATGGGCTTTGGAAAATAAAGGTGTATTGCCGTCCCCTAATCTTTTCTTCCTACCTTTTCATGAAAGTAATTAGCCTTTTTTGAATGCCTCCAGGCCATGGCATTTCACTTTTCATTTTACAGACCTAATGCTGAATAACCTTCTGAAATTGAGCCCAAATCTTTTAATTGGCGCTCTTCGTTTCCTACCAGCACTGCCGGCTGTTTTAATGCGGTTCGTTTCCATCCCTTCACCATTCCTGCTTTCCTCAGATACGACATGTTTCTGCTGCATCTTATTCTTTGTATCCCAAGCAGAGATCACCCACCTTTGCTTCCTGCCACAGGCTCAGCACCATGGCCATCCTGCAGTTGCTCTCCCAGCTGCCCTCCATCTTCCTTGCTCTCAGGTGACAAAAGCCTACACAACCACATTAACCCATTCCAGTGCCCTTCAAGTGGCTCCAGCATATGTTAGTGGTGAATTTACTTCCAGCTGTTGGAAGTGGTGTCATATATTATGATATACGATCCTAGAAAACAGGATGTATATTGTATCAAAGCAACTCATAGTATTATTTAAGTGTTCGGTATCAGTGACCATCTTGTCCTTCTAGGCTAAGCAAGCCCACCCAGCCTTGGTGCTGGGAACTGGGAACTGCTTCGTTCGTAGGGTGGCTTTGTTTGTAGACTGAAAGAACACAGCCTATGCACAGCCTGTCCAATTTCATCTTCCATCTTGCGCCATTAAGAGGTGTGCAGTGTTAGCACTGCTGTGGCTGTGTGGAAACAGAAGGCATTGAGCTCTGAGAGATGAGGTTCTTCTGGGGAAACTGATAACAAGTACAGAATTCAGGAGGAACATATTTTGTTCTTGTCAGTTATGTCTTGGTTGTTGTACATGATTGGTTGCTTGGATTGGCCAAGTGGCCAGCAGGGACAGGGAGGTGATCGTCCCCTCTGCTCGACTCTTGTGAGGCCCCATCTGCAGCACTGCGTCCAGGGCTGGGGCCCCCAGCACAGGAAGGATGTGGAGCTCTGGGAGCGGGTCCAGAGGAGGCACTGAGATGTCAGAGGGCTGGAGCAGCTCTGCTATGGAGAAGGGTTGAGGGAACTGGGCTTGTTTAGCTTGGAGAAGAGAAGGCTGTGGGGTGACCTCATGGTGGCCTTCCAGTGCTTGAAGGGAGCGGATAAACAGGAGGGAAACGGCTGTTTGTGAGGGTGGATGGTGATGGGACAAGGGGAATGGTTTTAAAGTGAGACAGGGGAGGTTTGGGTTGGATATGAGGAGGAAGTTTTTGAGCCAGAGGGTGGTGAGGCACTGGCACAGGTTGCCCAAGGAGGCTGTGGATGCCCCATCCCTGCAGGCATTCAAGGCCAGGCTGGATGTGGCTCTGGGCAGCCTGGGCTGCTGGTTGGCGACCTGCACACAGCAGGGGTTGGGACTGGAGGAGCGCTGTGGGCCTTTGCAACCCAGGCCATGCTGGGATTCTGCATTTCTCTTTTATGTAATGAACATGAAGAATGGAAATAATTGAAAAATGTTTGCCTTGTTTGCCTACAGAACTCCAGGAACAAGGATGAGGCTGAAGTTTTCAATCAAGCCATCTCCTAAATCCAGTGTGTAACAGCGGTGATAATGAGTGCAAACACAGTGAACAATAACATGCCATTTGTGTGCTGAGTTCTAGGGCTCCAATCCAGGGCGCACTGATGTCTGTGGAAAGACTTCCATTGATTTGAATTAGGCCTTGGCTTCTGTCCTGAATGAGCACAGTACCAGTGGAGCTATGCATGAAAGGAATGTTTGGAAATAAATCACAGGGCTGTAGAGCTGGAAGGAACTTGCTGTGGCAGAACCCCATTCTAATTCTAATTCGGGCAGCCATGTTTTCCAGTGCTTTCTCATAGTCCCTTACACAAACTAACCAGATTCAGTCCTAGAAATATCTTTTGCTGCTGCTGCTGTAATTGGAAGGCTATTTCTGAGCCATTATCCTGATGTCTGCAACCTTTCTGCCTGCTTTATGCCAACACAGCCTTTCATTTCAGTTCTTGTTCTTTGCCCTCTGTGTCATCCTGGTAAATTGCTGATGATGGTCAGGTCTCCTCTCAGGATTTGCTTTGCTAAATAAGCCAAGCCTTTTAATTTCTTATTTAGTGAGTTGTTCTTTCATCTTAGTAGCCTTTATCTGAACTTATTCCCGTTTGGCTTAATGCTTCTGGGACACAGGCAACAAAAGCTGTAACTTTAATGAGGTGTAATGGCTTTATGTAAAGCTGTTTCACTCACTTCCTACTCTGGTACAGCAGCACCACTACTTCCACTTGGATGTTCTCATATTATTTTTTTCCAAGAAGTTTAGAAATTGTACTGGAAGTTCAGAGGCTTCTTAAAAGCCTTTTAACAATCCTGGATCCTAAGAGCACTTTAAAAGTCTTGAATTGAGATGATTGTGGGTGTTGAATTATTTATCCACCAAACTTGAAAGGGAGAGAGTTTGCTTAAGTCTTGAAAGCACATTTTCTTATAGATCAGGATGGCTCTGAAAGACTTTTGTCCAAATAAGTTCCCTGAGCAGATATTAGTAGTCACAGCCCATAGCAATTAAGGCATAAGACATTTCCTGGGAATTAATATCAAGCTGGGAGGAGCTGGGATGGCTCAAGATGCAGCTGAGGCCCATTAGCTGCCACTGATGATTAATGACCTCTGCTGAGGTCATTATTATTATCAGCTGAAAATGTGCAAAAACTTCAGACATAGGGATCTTTTTAATGTGCTGTGCAGTTTCAGTGGGGGCAGGAGATGTGCCTGCACTGTGGGTAGGCTGTTTTGTGTTAATTGGAAATAGAGGGCTTGACTCCCACCTCCCCCCTGGTGTTTTTTGGGCCTGTTAATCAAAGTGAGATCTCTAAAGCTGCAGCAGTATCGCACTGAAAAGCGAGCAGAACGAAGTCCACGGTGCCTTAAATGTTCTCCCAGTGTTACGCTTGGTGTCTGGTCCTTCATCAGCTTGATTTGGAGGTACTCCCATCTGTCCCTCGTGGTGCCTAACGAGAATGGATCTCAGTATTGTTCAGAATGTTGTGCCCAGAACGTTGGCTCTGCTCACTGCTCTTGGAACCACATTTGAGACCACGGAACCCCACCCCACCATGGGCTGGCTGTCCAGGGCAAGGAAACACTGCTGTGCTGGTAAAGGGAAAATAGTTCTCCTACTTCATGCTCAATTGCAATGGAGAGATACTTCCCTAGTCTTTGCAGTGGTTTAACATTGTTGACCTGTGGTTCAGCTGCTGCAGGGGGCTTGGAAGTGTTCTCCTTGCTGCTTACTTGTAGCCAGTGGGACTGCTGTTGTAGTGCACTGATTGTCTCCTGTGTGTGTGTGTGTGCATATGTGTTTGTTTCCTTTAAGGTGCTGTAAAACCAACACTGCTTCAGAAGGCTGAAACAGACAGAATAGGCAGCTTTCAGATGGAAGCTTTAATTAGCTTCTCACTGCTACTAATTACGTAGATGATGCAGAGCTGTGCAGGCTTCTGCACACATTGGTCCCCTGTACCCCAGGCTCCTTCACCTTTGTGACCAAAATTCCCAGCATGGCAGGGCTGAGGGCTGCTGCTCTGGGCTGACCTTGAGACAAATGCCACTCAAAATAGACTTCAGCTCAGGGAAATCGAACTGTGCAAAAATGTAAGAAAAAAGCAGCAAAACAACCCGTGTGAAACCAAGGTGTGACGTGGTGGCGGTTTGAATGGCGGGAGATAGGACTAGACTGCTTGTGCAAACCTGTCAGCTTCCTGCGGGCTGTGGCATTTCTGTGTGCCTTTATTCACCCTCAGCCAAACCACCGAGCGCTTTGTTTCCTCCCAGCTATCCTCTGTGGTGAGAGGAAGAGGTGAGGGAGGTCAGGCAAAATGAAATGAAAATCGTGAAAGCTTAATAGGCCACGGGGAGCTTCTTTTGAAGGGATGCCAGAGATGGAATATCAGCTCTGGGGAAGAAGACCACAGAGCTGGCAGTGAATGAGAGGAGATCTGGTACATGCGCATCAGTTTCATGCTCCTTGCTGTGATCTGCTCTCCTGGTTAACTCCTCAGCCAGCATACTGTGCTGACATGGGGCTCCCACCGCTCTGTTAGTGTCCCAGCTACAGCTTCACAGCTCCAAGTTTATCTTACTAACGCATTTTGGGCTCTTGGTCCTGCTTGGAGGATTAACAGATGAGAACAGTATCGATCAGATGACATAAATTGAGTTTTCTGCTCGTTTCTAGTTCTACCCATCTCAGACCTCCCTATGCAATGCTAAAATCTTCATATTTATATCAGGTGCTTTTGAACATGCTGTTCTGAGCTAAACATTTTTAAGCCTGAAGCTGGCCCCTAGAACAGGTCACTATTTTCAGTTACATAAATATTTTTCTTGCTGCTACAGTGACTCCTGAGGAATGGGTGTATCTGTGCTCCAAGGAGCTGAATGACAGAACATCCAGTAGAACATAATGCACCCAGAGAGGCTGTGATGCCCCGTCCATCCCTGGAGGTGTTCAAGGCCAGGTTGGATGGGGCCCTGGGCAGCCTGGGCTGTTATGAAATGGGGAGGTTGGTGGCCCTGCATGGCACAGGGGGGTTGGAGCTTCGTGATCCTTGAGGTCCCTTCTAACCCGGTTCATTCTATGGTTCTATGATACACAGTGCCAGCAGCAGAGATTTGGAAGTAACCCTCGGTTACAGCAGGGCTGACTTTGTCTGCTGACCCTGCTGTTATTCTGCTTTTGTCCCCATGAGCTCACATGGCCTGGCACTTCCACTTGGATGCCCACTGCAGCTTTGTTTGGGCAGTCGCTGTGCTATCAGTTTTGCTCAACATTCACGAGAGGTTTACTTGCTGGTGGGCTCTCCATTTGAAGCCTCCTTCCCCCAGTATTTTCCACATTTTGTCACTTTCAGACCGGTGCTTTCTGTAGCTTCTTCTTTTGGCAGCCTTTACTCCTCGCTGGGCAGCCAACCCCAGGAGCACTGCTGCACCGACTGCCTGAGCAGCTGTCACCGAGTTCCAGCTCGTGGTTTAACACAGACTGATGGCACCCAGCACAAACTTCCTGTTCAGCATTATTTCTTTTTCATTTGCAGGAAAAGTTTGAAGGCCTGTTCCGTGCCTACGACGACTGTGTGACATTCCAGCTGTTTAAGAGCTTCAGACGCGTGCGGATAAACTTTAGTAGTCCCAAATCAGCTGCTCGTGCCAGAATAGAGCTGCATGAAACACAGTTCAGAGGAAAGAAGTTAAAGTTGTATTTCGCGCAGGTAATGAAATCTGTTCACTTCTGTGTGAGTGTGTGGCCCTTATGGAAATACTGTCCAGTAAAGCTGAATCAAAACAAGAGATGTTTCTCCCTTGCCCAGTATTTCTGCTAAAGCATTACTCAAACGTCGTTGTGTTGCCTGAGCTGTGCCTGCCCAGTTGGTCTGCAGTTAACTGAAAGGATCACTTGGGACAGGTTGCTCATTCAGTGCACAGTGCCACAGCTCAGAAGTGATGTACAGCATTTGATGCTGTGGGTAACACCCTAACCATAAAAAAACAGAATTGGGAATGGTTCATGAAAGAAGTAGGTCTGAAGAGCAGAACCTTGAGCCACAGTTAGGCAGAAGTGAGAAGCAGAATGTCTGACTGAATGAATGTGAATTTTTATTAAAAACAAACAAACAAAACAACCCAACAACAAAAAAAAACCCCACCCAATCCTACAACAAAATAAAAACCTCCTTAATTTCAAGTGAAAGGGAGAAGGGAGGGAGCAGAGCAATGTCCCGGCCTGGGGACATGATTGGATCCATCTAATGCAAGGGGGAGGGGAAGGTTCCGTTCTTCTTGGCCAAGGGAGAGGAGCCCAGATCTCCCAGCTGGGCACAGAAGGGTGAGGGAGGTTGAGAATCCTGAGCTGAGAATCTCTTCTAAACATATGTTAAGAAAAAGCATGGCCTCTGTGGTTTGTGGGATACTGATTAGCACCTAGAAGTAACGATGTGTGCTTCGAGCTGCCAGGTTAGGGCTTTAGAGCTTCTAGGATCTGTTCTGAAGATCTTCATCAAAACTAAGAGGCAGATAAATTCCTGAATCTTTACAACTGAGGCAGGGTAAGTGCTGATCTGAGCCTTGCCTGAAGCAGAACCTTCTTAGGAAGGTGGGAAACTACAGCTGTAAAAAGCCCAATGTTCTCAGCAGGTTAGGTGAGTTCAGAAGATCTTACAGTTGGATTTAGGTGTTGAAGATCTTCCTCAATCCCCTTTTACATGCCTTAATCTCCTAGATGTGGCTCAGAATTTATTTCAGAAAGATTTTGAAACCTGCTGGTAGGCAGGTTGGAGTTATTGCACTCCAACTGGACGATCAAGAGGTTAATAGGAAGATAACTCCAGAAAAACAAAATCATGCATGATAGTGATTACTCTCCACGTCTAAACTGGTTTCCTGCAAAGCCACTTAGGTATCTTCTCTATGTTCTCCAGTGCATGTGAGCTCAGAGCTTAGTAGCTGTGTCCAGGGAATGAAGAAGTGGAAGCAGCACAGTGTCTGGAGCAGCGTGTGTCTGTATGGAGCTGAGCCAGAACAAATAAGCACTTCCAGAACTAGAAGTACTGGGGAGCGTGGAGTGGAGCAGCACAGAATCCATTCACATGTAGCAGGGTGTTCATCTTCAACTTGCTTTCATGTGAATCCAGAGTATTGCTGCTGAGTTGGTTATGAAGTTGCTCAGCTATGGCTGCAGCTGTGGCGTAATTCATTTATGCCAAAGCTTCTTTAATAACACCCCCAAAGAAAAGCAAGAATCAAACTAGATAATTTAAGATGGACGGAAATAAAACGAGTGTAATGATTTGCAAACGACTAAGGAACACGATGGACTCCTTTCTCACTGCATCTCCATGTACCAAATCTTCAGAAAGGTTTCTGAACTTACTGACAAAGCCTCGGTGCAGGAATGGGTGGTTTCTAATCTGTATCTGCTTTTAGTTAGGACCTTAAACCAGCACAGCTCAACAATATCTATTGAGTTCACGACTCTCTGAACTTAGCAGCTGTGGAAACAGAAAAAGCTTTGCCCTTATCCTCAGAGGACACATACAGGAGGCACAAACAGTGCAGCCCTGCTCACATAACAGCCCCCCACAGCCTGTGTACCGCAGGGAGCCGTCTGTAAGGTGAGAGCAGATCCCTGTAGGCCTGGTCTGCTGAAACCCCGCCTGGGTGGCACTTGGGATTGGAAGTGTATGGTTTGAGTAATCGTTCCATTTCCCCATCCTAAACTAAAGTGTATTTGTTATGCTTTAAAGATTCAGACCTCTGAGACAGATGGAGACAAGCTTCATTTGGCTCCGCCACAGCCTGCAAAACAGTTTCTCATCTCGCCTCCAGCCTCCCCACCTGTAGGGTGGCAGCCCATAGACGATGCAACACCTGTCATCAACTACGACCTCCTTTATGCAGTTTCTAAGCTAGGACCAGGTAAGCCTGTGGTCCTTGGGTGAAAATCTGTTGGAAAAAGCAAATGAGAAATGGCAGCATAGAGAATAACTAGAGGCAGTTGGGGTAAAGGCTGCAAGTTGCGTTACAGCTTTGGAGTTAAGCTGATTTGGGGCAACTGGTTCTTTGCTTAACGTATTGTTTGAGTAGCAGATGGAAGCTTGCTCGCACAGTTTATCCTTGTGCTTGCTTTTATGTTTAGATGAGACAGCTGATGGTTTGTGCAGGGATTGGACAAACGCTTGTCTGTGAACCTAAAGGGCATTTGCTTTAAATCACACTTGCTCAGCAGTGCTTTCCAAGATGCAAAGTCCTTCAATGATTTAAGCATCACTGCACGTCCAACAGAGGGGAGAATGTCTCAGTTAACAAGTTTGATGAGAGAGGACCACCATTCCCCTGTCCCTGCAGGACTGCTCTGTTGGGACTGCTCGTTTTCTATTGAAAATGTTATGCAGAAGGAATGGGATTTAGGTGTAGTCTCTAAAAAGTGAAATAGGTAAGAATGGACAATGCAGACAGATTTATTCTGTCTTCCCATCTTCACCAGCTGATAAGGTGTGAAGCTGGTTGGGATCTTTGAAAGGTGCTTTGCCTTTAGAAAATGCTTATCTGATGAAGCTTAAACTTTTCATTTAGCAGATATTTACTTTCCAATTTAATTACCATGTATTTATGGAGAGCTTTCTTTGACTGCTGTTAGAGCATCCCTTTTACAGTTCTGAAAATGGAAAATGTTCAAGTTCCAGCCCTAAGAAATACCATTTAAAATTAGTCTAATTTACATTCATAACCTATAAGGAAAAATGGCATGTTGAATTATCCTCATGTGGAATTAGAGTAGAACCATACAGTCACCAAGGTCGGAAACCACCTCCAAGGTCATCCAGCCCAACCATCCTTCTCCCACCGATCCTTCCACCAACCCACGTCCCTCAGTGCCACATCTACAGGCTCTGGAGCACCTCCAGTGTTGGTGACCCACCCCCTCCTTGGCAGCCCGTGCCAGTGCACTTTATATCAAATCCAATAACAGTTTTGGCGGGCTGGGGAGGAGAGCTCATGAAAATTCAGCAGAGTTCACTTTTGAAATCCTTACGGGATATGGGAGTTGTCCTTGCAGCTCTACTGCTGCTGCTGTCTTGCTGTGAGAGCAGCCACCCACTGCAGGCACCTCGTCCCTGTGCTCAGTGTTACTGCCTGGCTGCCAGTGTGCCAGGGCTGTGGGGTGCAGGGAGCTGCTTCTGGGTCAGTAGGTTTGCAGGACCACCTGGCTTTGTTCTCCTGTGGGATCTCTCCCAAGGGGACAGCATGTAAGATTCCTGCATTTTACTTCCTTTGGGCTGGGAGACCACTGACAAGGGTGTCAGGTCTCACTCTTAGTCCTGCGTGGCAGATGATTACTCCCAGAATTGATGCTCTGCTCCTAAACTGCTGAACAAAAGGAAAACAAGAACTCCTTTTTTTCCTTTGGTGCAACAGTGTTATAAATAGAAACATGAAAACGAATTCCCTCGTTATCTGGACAATAAATCAATCCCTGTTCTACAGCAGTGGGATGTGAAATATCCCTCATTGCTCCACCCTCTGCGTGAAGGTCAGATCCAGCCTTATTGAAGGAGCCTGCAGGGAGCAGCAGCAGAAGTCACTGTGTGCTCCTCTTCCTATTTTTAGCACTCAGGAGAGAGATCGATTCTTGTTAACTGCAGTGGTGGCTCTAAAATAGCACTGCAGGTCTCAGCTGTGTGTTACTATCTTGAGGATTTCACTGAAAAACAAATCCCAGCAAAGCTTTGCTCAGGATCCCGTCGCTGGAGCTCGCTGCTGTGCAGCAGGCAGTGCTGTGCTCCTCACTGCACTTACAGTTAGCTCTCATTCCAGCAGCACAATGAAAAGTGTAACTACGCCTTAGCCAGCAAAAAGGGCTCAATGTTTGTATGAGCCAGAGCCAGAATTCTGTGACTCTGACTTGTGAGGAATATTACCTTAACGACACTGATTTAAATACACTGATTGCTGTGCAGCCTGGGCTGCTGGTTGGTGACCTGCACACAGCAGGGGGTTGGGATTGGATGAGCGCTGTGGGCCTTTGCAACCCAGGCCATGCTGGGATTCTATGATCCTATGTTTTGGTAAAAATTAATACCTGAGGACCAGAAAAACTCAATTAAGCATGTAAATAATGAACAGCTTCCAGCTGTGCGCTCTTGCAGCTCAGAAAGCAATTGGTATCCTGGGCTCCATCAGCAGAGGGGTGGCCAGCAGGGACAGGGAGGTGATCGTCCCCCTCTGCTCTGCCCTCATGAGGCCCCATCTGCAGCACTGCATCCAGGGCTGGGGGCTTCAGTACAAGAAAGACAGGGAGCTGTTGGAGAGGGTCCAGAGGAGCCACAGAGATGAGCAGGGGGCTGCAGCACCTCCACTACAAAGACAGGCTGAGGGAGCTGGGCTTGTTCAGCATGGAGAAGAGAAGCTGCGGGGTGACCTCAGTGCAGCCTGCAGTACCTAAAGGGAGCCTGCAGACAGGAGGGGAGTCAGCTCTGTGCAAGGGGAGATGGCAGCAGGACAAGGGGAAATGGTTTGGAGCTGAGGGAGGGCAGATGGAGGTTGGATGTCAGGGGGAAGTTGTGTGCTGTGAGAGTGGTGAGGTGCTGGAACAGCTGCCCAGAGAGGCTGTGATGCCCTGTCCATCCCTGGAGGTGTTCAAGGCCAGGTTGGATGGGGTCCTGGGCAGCCTGGGCTGCTGTGAAATGGGGAGGTTGGTGGCCCTGC